AAAGCACAGACAGCTGTCCCTGCTGCGTCAATTGAGGCTTGCAGGATTGTTCTAGATAGCATATCACTCTCAATAATTGGAGTGTCAAGCTTCTGGCAAAAATCTTTAGGCAGTAATCTGATAAAGGTCAACAGATGGTCAAAGATCTTATGAAAATAGTTTGGAAAGAACACAAGGTAGTTCCAAACGTGGAACTGAAGTGAAGCTGAAGGCTTTAGTGAAGCATAAGTAACTCAGGAATCTTCAGAAAAGTAGCCTTGTGTGGTACTTCAGCAGTAAAGATTTAGAACACAAGGAGAACTCTTCCTTAAGCATAATGTGTCTATATTAGAGGTCTGTTTGGTAAGCAGGTAGCATGATGCTGCGGGTCTGACAAGCTTCTCTAATTGCCCCAGTTGTCACATAGATGTTTGGCCCTAAAATCTTGATTAGGAGTTGGAGGGAGAAAAGGAAAAAAACATTACGTTTTCTCATCTGAAAAACATAGGCTTGCCACTCATGGAACATATTGTTTGCATCTCATGTTTAAATAATTCAAATTTGTATTTGTGAACTATGTCCAAGGATTAAGTAGTTCTAGTACACAGAATGTACCTAATTCTACATTGACATTACTTATGTTAAGTTTCTGCAAGTCACTTTGTCATTTAAGACTAACTTTCCAAGTAAATAGTAAAGCACAGTCTAAATTCAAAATTGCCTTGTAAAGACACCTCAAATAAGTTATGCCCACTTATAAAATAAATGTAATTAGGCAAACTAGTCTGGCAACTGGAATCTTGTTACCTTACATAGAAGAAATAAATGATTATATACTCATTTTGTTTTTGTCCCACGCTAATATATTTCCATATCTTCTATATAAATGCTTCTAGCTAGACCTCTCAGAAGCACGATCTTGCTTAAAGCAGCACTTCTGCCTATCCTCTCTGAATCTCTTTCACTTTGAGCAGTATGAAGAACCAGGCCTCACCTCAACATCTGAATGTGTTTGTTATTTTAAGTTATATGCCAAATTAATATATTTTACACCAATTTGAAGTTGTTGCATTCAGAAATACATTAGTCACACCATTAGATCTGGTGAAGATCTACTAATGTAGGAGGTCTGGCTGGGGAGGTAACTTGAATAAACTATGCCAAATTTTAAAAACATAAATCCAGTCTTTAATGCTACCTGACATTTGAGCTTGACTTTTAAATATGAAAATCCTCTTATAAAAGCAGTCACCATAGGAATCATTATGGAATGATATAAATGATACTGCAGTAAGAAATCAGTTAGTGATATAAACCTAAGTGTTTGAGTTTGGTATATTAAGCATCAATTAGAGCTAACTAGTTACTACTAATTGAACATTAGGGCAAAGCTATCAAAATGCAAACTTCTGGGTTTCATCGATCAACTCTGGTAAAACTACTGCTGTGTCCAGTTCACTCTGTTTCAATGTCTTTTCCTCTCAGGTTGTTGTTAATTCAAACAAAAAACCTCCAAGCAACAAAAGAACCATTCTAAATGTGATGCCTTTGTGTTTGCAGGGCAATTATTATTCTTTCATTGCTTGAAAGATCAAACAGGTGCACATGACTGATTACTTCTACATCATTACTTTGTACCCAAGTATGCCAGATACATTTTAGCTATAAATAAGCACATAAAGTTTAATCAACTGGAAGTTAATACATGTGCATTACCAGTTCATTACAGATTCAAAATTTGTAACATTTCCATAGCATACCTTCATTTTTTCTTACCTAGTGAATTCAAATGTGTTTTTACAAATAGGGGAGAGCCTATTTTTTATAATATAAAAAGTCTTTGTTGCTTGGGTAAAATCCCACGAAGATTTGCAGTGTTTTCTTATGACTTCTATTTACTCTTTTAAAGAGTTTCACCTGAGAAAGATGAGCATCTTGGAAACATTTAAATATATTTTCACATCCAGCTGTTTTTCCTCCTCTAAATGTAACATCACTCCTAAAGGCAATAAGCACTACTTTTGAGCAATAATATTGTTGGATTTGATCAAGAGGTTTATCTGCTAATGTTGTGAAACCATTGCCTGCTTTACCTACATATGTTCACCCTTGCAAACTAGACACAATTTGATGATGTTCAGAAATAATCATGATGCGCCGTTATACCACACACATGGGGGAAAAGCAGCAAGCCCAAAGCTACAGAAGTATTTCAAGTCTTCATCTTCAGTTTCTGATATGATAAATTTGGACTCTCAGTTTTGTCAAGCCGTAATGAGCACTGTGTTCAACAAAATATCAATGCTGAAAAAGGAGCGGGAGCTGCAGTTAAGATACTGAGAACAGCTGATAAATGATTGTAACTGTACTCAGTACTGAGTATGAATGTCAAAACAGTCCTATTGGATTAAACAAAGAAGAAAGGTAACTTTTAGCTAAATATGGAGGCTTAAAAGTACATAGCCAAGATTATTGAGACAAGTTGTCTCAAACAAGAGCACTGACACTGTCATCACTTTCTGGACAATATGTAAGTTTCAGGCCCTATTTGATAAACAACTTGATCTTAACAAATGATCAAGATAAAACTGGCCTAAGAAATGCTGGTGGCATGCTTACCTTTTCAGGAACAGGCAGAAAAAACAAATTTATCACTTTAAAACTAGACAATGTACTCTTGTTTGCTACTTCACATATCTGAATTCCTTCATATGCCTCCATACTGATGAGTAATTATCTTCATTGCATAATCTTCCTTTTTTCATTTTTCTTTTGATCTCATATTCAATCTCCAGAAGAGAGAGTTATGCAGTTACTATTACGGAATTCCGTCACCTTTCTCTTTGTTTTGTAGAAAAATAACTTTTATTTACATGTTTTGTTCTGTAGATTCATCTACATAGACTGTCTTACTAGACTATCATTATTTTGAATACTAAAACCAAATTAATCTCAAAATATTTTATAAGTTTAATGAAATATAACAGTTTATGATAAGTTTTGAATGGTTAATATTCAGTCAATACGACTTTTTGCATTCAAGAAGTAAGATCTAGTACATCTTATTACTTGTTTTCTGTCAAGGCACAATTTTACAGACACTATTCTTCAAGGCAAAGGTTACATCTTCATTTATTTACAAATAAAACAAATAGTGACTGTTAATAACATTTTAGTCTAAATCCAAACTCTTAGAATATATCTACTGTAAGGCAGTGTTAAGTGTGATGAACTTCTGAGTAAATTAATGCCTATGAAGACTTCACACACTTAACTAAATGGCAAAATACCACCTAACAGCTGAGATGCTACTCAAACACATGCTGAAACACAGGCCAGACCCTCAAGAGATATAAGTCAACTCAATCCCTTTACTGGCTTGTATTATGCCTGCTGACAATATAATGTAATTACAGCAATTTAACAGAATTCAAATGAATGTTAATTAACAAGGACCTGTCTCAGTGATTTAGGGTCAATAAAGTGGGTGTCCAAAAGACATGGAAATGAGACAAACTGATTAATTCAGCTCCCTAACCTCCTCTTCAATAAATGATCATATTTGGACCAATTTTGATCTTTTTGAGAATGTATTAATGCATCTGATGCTCATGTGTTAAGACAGACGTCTCTGAAAAACCAAACCAGCTGCCTAGTTAGGTTTAATCTTTAGCAGTGTTAATGAGCAGAGCCCATGAAATGCCTACATTTCAATTCCAGGCAGAAATTTCAATTAGCAAGTTAGGGAATGAATTGCCAAAGAAATATTAGCATGTATTCTTAAGTTTAATGTCATTTCACTGAATGTGCAGATTTTATGATAAAATATGATTTGGTGCAAGTTATACTTTTTATAGAGATGTTACATAGGAAGAAAGTAATCTTTTTATTATCAATCTTTAACTTGATTATACCATAGCATGATAAACTGTGCTTAAGTAATTAATTTTAGGAAGTGAAACCTGGCAGAAGTTTCATAATTGAAAAAATTTTGCATTCTTATTATAAAAAAATTGAACAAACTCACTATTCTCCAAATAAGCTCATGTGAAAGAGCAGTATGGTATAAATCTATGCAGTTCTCTGGTGTCTTTAAAGCAAAATATTTGTTGAATTTAATAGCCCAATAGCTTTATTTTTATTAGGAAATGGTCCCTTCAGGGAGAAAAAAAAAATCATTTGTATATTATATATAGCATAGAAACAAGGTTCTAAAATGTTACAGAATCTCATTAAGTTTTCTCATAAAGCTAACACGAAATGTTGGACTTCTAATGTTATTTGGAGTAATACACAGATTGTATACCCCGTGACAGCAATAATTGCAACATCAAAGAATTCTACTTGTAAATCACTTAAAATAACCACCCACTGACAATTTCACTTTTAAAAAGTAGGAGTTTGAATATTATCAGAATACATTTCAGCTGTAAAGATGCTTATCATTGCATGTTTATCTGGAGATGCACATGTTGATCCATTTGAGAAGCATCTAAATTTCTTCAGGAATCAGGAGACTGCTTAAATTAAAAATCTAAACTAGTATGAACATCTGGATATGGTAACAGAAGCCAGCATGCTGCTGATTCTCCTCAGAGAATCAGAAATATTGGTACCAGAAAAAAAAATTGAGAGTCCAGATGAAGGTGTTGTCCTAGTTTTGATTAAGACTCAGAGTACTGATGTGATATTTCTTTTATTCACTGACTGTTCCTCAGGTTTGCCACTACTGAGTTATAGCTTAGGAACTGCCATCAGACTGATACTTTCCATCTTCAGAAGTGGAAAATCTCATCTAACAATGCCATATCACACCAGCTCCATATTTCTAGTGCTATCTTCATGCTTGTTAAACTGACTAGTGCTGTATCTACAAGAGACATCTTACAAGGAAAGTCTTTCTTTTTTTCACAACTTGTTAGCTTTCCTTGCCACGTGCATCTTTTTTAGAAATTAAACAGTTGCCATTTGTAGTAACTTGGTCTTTGCAGTCATCCAAAGATCATAATGCTGTGACTTACCTTTGAAACTGACTGCTTTGCTTCACATGGAATGCAATTGGATCTCTTCTCACCCTTGGACTTGACAAATATAACTCCTCCCTGCAAGAACAGTCACATTGTGCATTAGTAAATATACTTCCAGAAGACTTTTTCCCTGTATTTTTTTCCTTCACTTAGTAGCTACATCTGAGTATCCTTCAACCATTTGTTTCCACTGTATTGGCTGCCTATGAACTACTGAAGATCTCTCTAGTCCTTCAGCATTCAAGACTATGAGCATCTTAACATTTGGCATCGTATCCTGCTTTTAAAAGACAGCATATTACACACAGGTAAGTTTGGGATCATCCAGGCAGCACAGTTGCATCTCTGAGCCTTCAAGCTGCAAGCACTCAGCAAGCTGAAGCACACATCTTTACAGTTTACCAAACAGAGCGTTTTCAGTGCTTGGCTCAGTACAAACTTGGAACAGATAACACTGGTGTTTCTCCAAGCATTCATTTAAGTTTGGTTAAGCCTTTAGACTTCCCTAAGGGGACAGCAATTGCATGGGCATGCAATGTGTCTTCTACAGGTATAATAGTTATTTCCTATATTTTGCTGAATTATTATGGTGGTAATAATATCATTTCCTTATTTGAGCATCTAATTTAAACAAAAACCAGTAATAAAACTGAGGTATCCCCAATTACTGCTTGTACCAACTTACCTGTCTTTATATTGCTTTACAATTTCTTAACAAAACTGTATTTCATTTGAATGAAATGAATATTCAAAGAAATATATTGTGAAACATCAGCATTTCCACAAAGGCTTCCGAGACTACATTTACAGAACAGCAGGAATTCATCCAAATGTTTTGGTTGCTCACAATTTAAAAAATGTTTTGTAAATGTCCCATTCACCTCTTCTGAGTACTGCAACCTACAGACAGCTGCTTACCCACAGATAAGAATTAAAAAAAGAGTGTATTGAACTTACTAACTCAAAGCTCTTAAGCAAGAGAGATCCTCTTTCCTCACCTTCTTTTCACCTGCACTCTACACTACAGCAGTAGCCAGGCAGTAGAAACTTGTTCTTCAAAGAAGACATCAACTTCATCATCAATTGTACACAAAAATTAATAAGCAAATGATCCCAGATTACAGCTAGAAATGTAGGCTACTCAAACCACACAGCTGGTTTAAGTTTTTGTTGTTTTGAGTTTCAAAGCACATTTCATTTAAAGACCTTAATACACCTAAGTCTAGGCAAAAAAACGAGCAGTGCAAACAGAAGGGAATTATTGCAATTCAGAAATATTCCAGAGGATGTGACAAGGTCTAGAGATAGCTCTGGGCATAAGTTAAAGGAAGAAGCTGCAATGTTCTAATGACACAGAAAGTAGTACAATAAGAGCAAGATTGTAACAAAGTCTTTGGCTACAGGAAATGAGAACAAACCCAAATGCAGCAGCCACAGAAATGAAAGAAAAGCACTGTTTACTTTTAGAAAGCCCCAGGTTGGCAGGAACCTGGCATGTTTTTTCACCTGTGTAGCAGAAATGCTAAGCGATGGCCTGAAGCAGTGATGGAGGTGGGAAGGCAGGGCCAGCCCAGAGGAGCTCAGCTGCATGCAGTGCACATGAGTGACTGGAAAGAACGGAGCCAGGATCTACCCATTCCCAGCCCTCATTTAAGGGTTGGCAGTGAAGGTGGGAGCGTTTCTTTTTAGAGATCCCTACCTACTTGAGGACTTCAAAAGGTAAGCAGCTCTTTTCCTTCATTTCTGCATCTGTGGCTGCTGCATTTGGGCTTGTTCTCATTTGCTGTAGCCAAAAACATTGTCACCCTACTATTATCATCCCATTATAGCATTACAACTCTTAAAATTATTCTGTCATAAGAAGTCTAGTTAATGCTCTTAATGATAGATGCTGTCTTATTCAAATCAAGTTTTCCTTACATTGAAATCCTTTATAATTAGCTTGTATATTATTCAGGAATCTATTCATAGTTACATCCTTTTACAAGAGTATGCTAGGATTACTGTTAGGCAACAGAGAAGCTGCTAAAGAAACTACTTACAGAAAATGAGTTGCGAATACCTTTCTTCAGGGTGTTTTTGCACAGACGCACCACTGAATTAAAAGCTAATTATTGCATGATAAGTGATCTGAAAACAAACAAACAATAAGGTGGTGAAGTGAATTGTGATACAAAGTTATTGAGAGTAGAAAAAATAAACTCAGCTGAGCAAATCTGCATACAACCTTGAGGTCATGTGCAGGTTGTGTTTAATGTAAATAACCATGAAACATGCATGGAAAAGAATTCCATCCTTACCTGTATAACTATTTAGTGGATTTAGATGCTAACACTAAAGGATATCCTGTGATCTACGAAGTTAATGTTATGAAAACAGTGTTCAATGTTTCTTCAGTGTTCAGCAGAACAACATTCAACAATACTCAGTTTGTTGGCTTGCTTTCTTCTCTAACCAAAACAAACAATAAAAGGCAAACAGGAGATAGGAAATATAAGGGAAGAATTAGACTGGGAAGTGGAAACCAATGTTTTTGGCCCAGCATAATGCAATACTTCTGATTCAGAAAGTGCTAATGCCACAGTGAGCCGTGTTCAGGGTGGTAAGGGATCATACGGTGTCACATCTGGTGCTCTTCTTTAGGCACTTTCTGCTGTTGCAGCTGTATATGTGTGCATACGATATTTCTAAGAAGATCACAATGTCTAGTTATCTCTGGAACACACTTATAGCTGAATTCAATGGAATAGAAAAATGGAGGGGCTGTGGTAATGTCTCAGCAAGGAAAACGTTTGTATCCATGTGTCCACCTGGCTGTGGATGAAATGATGTCAATAACACGGGAATAAAAGGAAAGGCAGGGCTATCATCCCAAAAGGAAATCCACGTTCTCTCTCGGAATGCTGTTCTGTCATTCTCTGCACTGGGGGAGACCGAAGCAAAGAGCAGAAACTTCCTCTAATCCAACCTTGCTCTTCACGCGTTAAAAATAACGGTTCGCGTAACAACGCCGCGCTTTGCAGCACGCACAAGCAACTTTCCCTCAGCACCTAAAAGCAAACAAAGACGAGAAGGAAAACCCACACGCTCAGAGCCCGGCTCCCGTTTCCTCAGTGCTCGGCCGCTCCCCCCGTCCCGCGCGGCTCTCACAGCTCCGCGCTGCCGGCAGCCGTTACCGCCCGCCCGCTCCGTCACCTCACCCAACCCCCCTCCCGCCCTTCAACCCCGCCTCCCCCTCCCTCCCCGCTTCCCGCGCGGCCGTTACCGCGTGGCAGTTCGCGCGCAGCCGCTCGCGGGGCGCGTGCCGCCTCAGAGGCTTCCGCGCGCGCCGTGTGCAGCGTGCGAGGGGAGGCGGGCTGGGGCCGTACCCCGCCGCCGGACCGCTCCTCCGGTGAGCGCTGGGAGGCGACAGCGAGCTCCTCCCGCCGGATCCGTTCGGGGGAAAGCGAGCCGAGCGGCCAGACTTTTACCTTTTCTCTCTTTTTCCCGTCGCTCCCCACCATGCTCCGGGCGCCGCCGCCCGCGGGGCAGAAGCCGCGGCTCGGGCCGGCGCCCCTCTCCTGAGGCGATGCGGGAGGCGCCGGCGGGACGGAGCTAGCGAGACCCCCGACCACCATGCGGGAAGAGAGAGAAGCGGCCGCCTCCGCCTCCCGCCGCGGCCCCGGCAAGCCGCCGCCGCACCGCCCGCAACCGGACGGCGCGGGGCCGCCGGCGCCGCCCGAGAGCCTCCGGAACGGCTACGTGCGGGGCTGCGCCACCCCGCCGCGCCGGGACCCCCCGGAGAGCTTCCCGACCCCGCCGCTCTGCCCCGGCGCCGCCGCCGCCTCCTCCTCCTCCCGCCGGGCGCTGCTCAGCCTGGGCGCCCTGGCCGCCGTCGCCCTCTCGCTGCTGGCCTTCCCCGGCCGGGGCAGCGCCGGCCCGCAGGACGGCGGCGGCTGGCGGAGCCCCCGGGCGCTGCACGCCTTGCTGAGCCTCTCCCGCTGCCTCAGCCCGCTCTTCAGCATCGCCTGCGCCTTCTTCTTCCTCACCTGCCGCCTGGCCCGCGGGGAGCGCGGCGCGACGCGCTGGTGGCTGCTGGCGCTGCCCGTCTGCTGCTACTCGGGGGACTTGGTGGCGCTGCGGTGGCTGCCGCCCGCGCAGGGGCGCGGCGAGGAGCCCCTCGCCCCCGGCGAGCCGCGGCTGGCGGCGGGCAGGCTGCTGGCCGCGCTGGGCTCGGTGGCGGCGCTCACCCTGCTGCAGAGCTCCGCGGGGCTCCGCCGCAGCCTGCTCGTCCTGCTCTTCTCCGGCGCGGTGTGGCTGGTGTCTCTGACCGGCCTCCAGCCGCTGCCCCCGGCCCTACGGCCGCTGCTGGCGGGCTCGGTGGGGGTGGCGGGCTGCCTGCTGGCTCTCCGCGGCGCCGAGCGCGGCATCTTCCCGGCTCGGGACCGGGCGGCGCCCCAGCAGCACCAGCCGCAGCCCCGGCTGCCCGGCGCGGAGGACAAAGTGCCTGCGGTCAGACCCCGGCGGAGGTCGAGCTGCGTGTCCCTGGGGGAAGCTTCGGGCAGCTACTACGGCAGCAGCAAGATGTTCAGGAGACCCTCGTTGCCTTGCATCTCCAGAGAGCAGGTAGGTGGCTCCGGGACTGCGGGGAGAAAGTTTGAGAGCGGCGAGCGCCGCTCGCTCTCCCAGCTCCTGTAGGCGTGTGTGCGGGATGTCTGCTGTCACGCTGCTCTTACAGAGGGAAACACTCGCTCCTTAGCGTCTACTGACTCTTCAACTCGGTTCTGCAGGATCGGTGCAGTCCTTGCAGGCTGCACGGAAGCTAAATCGTACCGATGCGTGCGACAGGATAGAAGGCTCGCTCGCTTTTCGTACGGATTAAACGCTAAAATCTAACCCTTCTTGCTGTCAGCCACCTTGTTTCTTTCCCAAAGCCCACCTCCTCTATTCGTGGCCAACGTCACGAGACAAAGCCTTGCTGGCTGCTCTCTCCTCCACTTCTCGCTTTCTATCGACAAAAAGACTGCCAGGTGCTAAAGGAGAACTCGGGTTTTCAGGGATATTATTTACCAGTTTGGGGCAGTGTTTGAGTGGCGGGCTGCCTCGCAGATTACCGTCTCTGTTTCTCTGGTCTCCTCTTCAACCATCTCTCCCTCGCTCCAAAAAAATTACCATTAGGTCTGAGCTGATTAAGCTCAAGAAACTTCTTTTTTTTACCTCAGAGAGAGCTGTTCAGTAGAGTCTGGAAAGATGCCCAAAACATTCAGTTTTCTTGAATGGAACTCTGTTGGTTTCTGCCTCCTGGAAAACTTGTCAATGAGTCCTGTTTTTTTTTTTTTTCTTTTTTTTTTTCTTTTTTTGCAGGGCAACCCCCATGTGGGGCAGTTGGTTTATATTTGGTAGGTGGCACATGAGCAATAGGAGCTGGGTGTAAACGGCCCAGCTCTGCTGGAGCGGACAGTTGACCCCATGCTGGAGGAGCGTGGGGGCATTGGGAATGAATGGCAAGTGCCCAGCTTCTGTGAAGGGATTGTTGCCACAGAACCCCCCATCTGTTGCTGCGGTGGCTGAAATTCATGAATGCCAAATGAAATGTTCTAACTTTGCTTTGTCGTGCGTTCCATAATGCGCTTCTTGTGATGTGAAATAGGTCGGAGGAAATACGAGGCAAATCTGAAACAGTGCAGCGGTTTGCGAGCGTTTCTTTCTCTGCATTTACGCAATAGAATAATACAGCAGTAATTGTTCTGTGCGTGAAAGGTTCAAATGCCAGTCTGCTGGAACAGGCGTCAGTAGGTTAAAATTATCAAGTGCAGACAATGGGACAAACGTTAAAATATTGTAACAGCAGTTAAGATATGTGGGGAATATTGTATAATAGTTTACTTTTCTGCTCCCTTCCCTTCTAGATAGGAAATGCTCTCTGCTTGTGTCATGTTTGTCTACAATATAAGAAACACAGAAAATGCAGTAACAGCTTTCATTAACTTTTCTAGACGATAAAAGATATTTGTTTTTATTCAACTGATTAAGTGCTTCCTTTGATATTCAGTTCTCTTCCCATACAATATGTATATATTTCAAGTTAAGACATTTAGTATTCTTTAAGTAACATCATAAACGTCAACCTAACTAAATGCCTTGAATTTATTGGCAGTACTTAAATCATACGTGTTCATAGTAAAACGCAACTGCTTGGTAGACTTCCAGAATTTGATATCTTCATTATCACTAGAAGTGAACAGTAACAGCAAAGAGATCCGAAGTTCTTTATTTTCCTCATAAAGTCTATTACACCTTACAATAAATATTTGTGCTTTATTAGCCATGATTTAAATTGCATTCAGAGATACATGTTCGAGGCGGTGTTTTATGAGGGATTTTTATGAGGACGATGCAGGTGAAATACTCCGCTCTCGTGTTTGACTTGGAGAGATATCAGACATTGCAGAGCTGATAAAGTGTCAGCTGCTGGGGCTGGGGGTGACACGAGGAAGGAAGCCTATGGTCTGTGACTGTATTTGACCAAACACTGCGAGGTCTTTGTGTTGTTTCCTTGAAACAGAAGGAATAGAAGCACTTAATGCTCTTCAGAGGAGCATTTATTATGTGAATTTCTTGAAAGATTGCATGTTTTGTAGATTTTTAGACCGCATTGCAAGGCTTCTTTTTCAATATTAATATTTTAAGTAGTGAATTTAATAAGGACTGCTGGAAAGGTCAGTGGAGTATGAGGAACGTGCTGCTGGAAGTTTGCTATGCCAGGAGTATTTATAATGACAATATTAGTTTAGCTGTCATTCACTTTGATGCATTTTATATGATTATTTATGCACATTGCACCCCTACAAGTGGGTATATGTAAGAACAAAAGAAAAAGGCAGATGTAGATTTTAGTTATTTTCTGGGGGGAAAAAAGGGATTGCTGGTATTACATTAAGTTTTCAGTTACTTGTTGAATTGAAATTATGCCCAATTCCGTCTAAATACCATAAGAAAAAAATTCCAGGTGTGCACAACTAAGAGTGTTCACACAGTGGAGTCAAGTGGAGCTGTCACTGTTTTCTGTTTTTTTGTTTGTCAACAGATAGCAACGGTCAGTAATTATCTTTGTACTTATCTGTGAACATCCACGCTTTGCTGTCAAAATCTAATTTGTGCCATGTATGCTTTTTTTCTGCTGTATGTGTAGCCACACATACATACATACATACATAGCGATGTAGTTTGGTGGGTGGAGGAAAAGAGTCTTCAATAGGTATTATCTTTGAATTCATGCTAGTATACTTAAATGCCATTTTCAAACATACAAATAGAAATATGTGTAGAACAGAGGGAAGTAAATGAAGGCTAAAGATCATGCAAGCACACTGTCTTTTTGAGCTCTACTGTATTAACTGGGAAAGTTAATGGAAATTCATAAGATTTAAGTAGTAAACAGGCTTTTTGTTTCCTTCTTTCAGTATTCATCTTGGGCCAATTGATGAATCGTTTAGCAGTACAATTGCAATATTGGCTGCAACTACAAATGCTGTGCAGACAATGTTTTGATTAAATGTTTTAATTACATGCTAATATTAGCTGTACATACTGCTATCAAAGGGATTGCCTGCACTGGCTGTTGAATACTTACTACACCACTTCTTAATGTTCTTTTTTGTTTGTTGTTGCTACTTGAAAGCCAGATCAGTACTGGGACTCTAAAGGGTGTTGGTCAGATCTTATAAATAATCTTTGTCTTGAAAAATACTGTAGTGTAAAGCATTTTTTTTTTTTTTTTTACATCCTTGTGAATGTGTATATGAGAGCATGTAACTACATATAGGACATGTGATTCTAAAATGTCTATTTGTCTTTACTAAAAGAATAGGCCTTTCAAATCATGGGACACATGTCCAAAACAGCCTGCAAATAGAGCTAGGTTTTTTTGTTTGTTTATTTCCTTTTTAAAATATCCTAGCTATCTCACTAGGTTCAAACAAGTAGTAAAACTGAGATGTTAATGGATAAAAACTTCTGTGTTGTGCTCTGTCAGTTAAAGGAAGAGTTGTCTCACGTTTAGGCTGGTAGATTGGCTACCAATCTGCCAATTTCCATTTGTAGCTATCTTATGCTTTTATCTTGTACCCTCTGAGGATCAAGTCTTATCTTGTACCCTAGGAAGATCAAGACTTGATTTAGAGAGTCTACAATGTAGATTTAACTTTAAATTAATGCAGTTTACTTAGACACATAAAAACTGT